TATAGTACAACAACTCTTGATAATCTCCTACCTCTTTGGTCTCTAACTCACTATTATTTGTCTATTTGTTTTCCTGAGAAACTATTTTGTAGATAACAATATGTAAAACAATAACCATTGATAATTTCCTACCATTTTGTCTATAATTTGCTAAGTCCCCCCATTATTATGTTATCCTTCTTTTACTCTTTAAAATAAAAAAAAAAAAAACCTAAGATCTCCTCTGATTTAACCATTCAATTATTAATGACATCCAAATGCTGGATCAGTTAAGCTAAAACTATGGGCTCTAAGACACCTTCCAACTTAATTTTTTTAAAAAGGCACTACCCATGTCAGGTCTTACACTAAGTGCTTTCTTCTTTCTTTGCCAACTATGGAACCTGTTTTCTCCAAACCTGGGCAAAAAAGGCTGTACCCATTGCTAAGCAGTACGACCCACACAGTTTTACACTGCTTCCCTACCCCTTCCTTCCCACCCACCATCTCACTTGCCCAGTCCTTGACATCACTAATTTATCATTTATCTCTGTCTTAGTGGTATTTCCTTTCTTTTCTTTTCTTTTCTTTTTTTTTTTTTTTGGTACTGGGAATCAAACTCACGACCTTGCGCTTGCCAGGCAGGCGCTTGCCAGGCAGGCACTTGCACCACTGAGCTATATCCCCAGCCCTTAGTGGTATTTCAATGTTATGCATAATCCACCTACCAAGCTGTGAAATGGTACTGGAGACTGCACAATGAAACCCAGGGCCTCGCAAACCTGAACTGAATTACTAAGGGTATACTGCAGAGGAGGTGAGTACTAGAGAAAGCGCCTCTCCAGGATTTGGTGTCCAGACAACAAATAGCAATTTGAGGAAGAAAAGGGAGAGAAGTGGGCCCCAGGACCCAGGAAGGATCTGAAGAGAAAACTGAAATCCACAGGGAGAGCGAAGAGAGAGACTTCAAGAAGAGGGAGGTGGCACCCACCCTTTCTCCCTGAACCTAGACCCACTGCATGTGTAGAGTGGCTCAAACTTGCAGACGCAGGGTGACTACTAGAGACCAGAGAGGCCACCACAAGAAACACACCAGTAGAATGGAGCAGTGAACACAGAAAACTGCAGTGGCTGGCTATCTGATGCTATTGTTACTGATGATTGTACCACTTTAGCCAAAGTGACTAATTGTTCTCATCAGTTGTTCTTCCTAGTATAGCAAGACTGAGATTTCCTAAGGGTCACAAAAACTACTACATGCCATTTCCAAAAAACCAGCAGGTGGGGCAAGTAGGCAGCAACTTCCCATCCCCAATAATTAGAAGAGGTAGGATCTTGCAATGGACTTATAACCCAAAAACCAGCTACACACGGAAGACATCACTGAGAAGCAGTCTTTTTTTCATTTTAAAGAGAACAAAAATAATTTTAAAAACATTAGAAACAATACAAGAGCTTCAAAAGACAAGATGATAGGAATTCAACAATGGTTGTTATATTGCATATTGTTGTCTTCAAAGCAGTTGTTCAGATTACCAGATGTAAGCATGTAAAATTGATCAAAAAAAATTAAGCATTAACTCTTCCTTTCAATAAACCAGCCAGGCGTGGTGGCACATGCTTGTAATCCCAGTACTTGGGAGGCTGAGGCAGGAGGATCATTGCAAGTTTGAGACCAGCTTGGGCTACAAAGTGAACTCAAGGCCAGCCTCAACTGCATAGCAAGACTCTGTCTCAAAGAGACAAAAAAAAAAAAAAACAATAGAAGTTATTAGTACAATTATCTTACCCATCGTGTGTGTGTGTGTGTGTGTGTGTGTGTGTGTGTGGATATACATATATATTTTTTTCCCCCTTCTTTCTTTCCTCCTTTCCCTCATCCCAGTTGTTCTTTCCTTTTGGGCAGTTTCTTTCCCTTTCACAATATCTATTGTACCTTTTGGATCTTATTTGCTCTTTCAGGTTCTTACACTAGGGAGACAATACAATGTTTACACATGCAGGTCTGATTTATTTCACTTATGAGTATGGTCTCTAGCTGCATCCATTTACTATAAAAGCCTCAAATTTATCTTTATCATTTTGTAAGTGTTGTAAATATTAGCAATAAAGCTACTCATCACAGGCAATTTGCAAGCATCAACCCAGGAATTAAACTAAAAAATAAAATAAATAAATAAAAATGAGATGACACTTAAACAAGATGCAACCCCAGACTTTCAGCTCACCAAGGACAAAAAGCCACCCACCTGGACTCTCTGAAGTCGTAACAGTGGAAGTAACAAATCAGATCAATGAGACTCCAGGAAAAATTCAAATCAGAAATAATTTCTCACCAACTGCAGAGATGGTGACCATAGTGAAAGACATGTTCAGTGATCCTAGAGCAGATACACATTAAAAAAAAAAAATAGAGAGGAGCTTAGGAAAAGGATGGAAACCATGAATCCCCAGTGTAGGAAAGAAATGGAATTCACAAAATAAATTCAAACAGATATTCAGGAGATCAAAATTACCACTGACCAGGCATGGTGGCACATGCTTATAATCCTAGCACTCAGGAGGCTGAGGTAGAAGGATTGCTGTGAGTTTGACACCAGCCTAGACTACACACTGAGCTCAAGGCCAGCCTGAACTGCATAATGAGACCCTGAATCAAAAAGACAAAAAATAATATAATAATATAATATAATAACCATAGCAAAATGAGCCAACAGGATAACAGAATCTCAGATACAGAAGTCAGGACTGCAGTTAGTGACCATGAAAAGAAAGGTTTCTTAAAAATAGCAAGGGACCATGAGTAATCAATCTACCAGCTGCTAGATGATACAAAGAATAACTTAAGATTGATCAGCACTGGGGGTGCACAATTTGCTTTGCGGGGGGGGGGGGGGGGATGCACCCCAGAGTACTCAGAAACAGGGTCTCCTTCCTCTGATAGGGGAAGGTCCAAAGAAACAACAAGACAATGATTCCACTCCAAGTACCAGTAACAGCCAATTAGATTTGTTTTCTGAAGAGACCACCAGGGACAACAATACCTCGATAACCACGCCAACTCTACGTCCCAGCCAGCAGCCGCTTCCAACAGAGCTGAATATAACTTTACCAAGTAAAGAGGAATGTGAGCCATGCATAGACACAGCTCATGTCTCATTAGTCACACCAACCAAAAGGTCTTGTAGTACACATTCACAGTCTGAGAACAAGGCTTCACCAGTGAAACCGTCACGACTACAGGAGAGTACCGCATGATCTGAGGAAACCAGCCAGTCTAAACAGAAGAGTTCCCATTGGTGCGCCCACTGCCAAACCAAACTGGAGCTGGTGCAGCAGGAATTGCGATTGTGTCGCTGTGGCTATGTGTTCTGTATGTTACACCGCCTCCCCAAGCAGCACGACTGTACATTTGACCTCATGGGCCACAGCCAAGAGAAAACCATCATGAAAATGGTGAAACTGGACTGGAAAGTAGGGCACTCCTGCCAGTGCATTAGGGAGGGGTGCTCCTGAAGGCCAGGTACAGCCATCACATGACGCTGTTCTTAGTTCACTAATGTTAGCCTTATTTAGGACAAAGTCAGCCAGACACCTTGTACTGGGCACGCGTCTGACTACAGCCAGTCTGTTTCCTTTCTTTAGCCAGCCATCCTGGCACGGTAGTTTAGGGGCTGATGGAGGTTGAAATTGATTTCTGACTGGTTACTAAGGCACCTGCTAGTCATAGTATAAAATTAAAACATGAAGAATAAAAAAAAAAAAAAAAAAAAAGAAGATTGATCAGAGTCAATGAAAAAGCAGGAGATACAGCAAAAGACATAAAAAACCTGTTCATAGAAGACATGGCAGAAAACTTCCCAAGCAAAGAAAAAAAACTTGTCATATCAATAAATTAGGCACACAGAACTCCAATTAGCTTGATCAAAAAAGGTATATATGTATACACACAGCAAGTCATATAATAATCAAAACTGCAGAAATTCACCACAAGAACAGAATACTAAAAGATGTTACACAAAAGAAACAAATCACCTATAAAGGAAAGCCCATCAGAATCACAGCAGACTTAACACAAACCCTCAAGTCAAGAAGAACTTGAGGCATCCCCCATGTGTATGTGCCTAATCTCAGCTGGTCTGCCCAACACCTTCTGAGCTCCAGCCCTAGTCCCCCGCACTGCCCCATATCCACTCTGACAAGATGAAAGAAACTATCATGAACCAGGAAAAACTCACCAAACTGCAGGCACAAGTGCACATTGGTGGGAAAGGAACTGCTCACAGAAAGAAGGTGGCTCTACAGCAGATGATAAAAAACTTCAGTTCTCATTAAAGAAGTTAGGGGTAAACAGTATCTCTGGTATTGAGGTGAATTTGCTTACAAACCAAGGAACAGTGATCCACTTCAACAACCCACAAGTTCAGGCATCTCTGGCAGCAAATGCTTTCACTATTACAGGCCATGATGAGACGAAACAACTGACAGAAATGCTACCCAGCATCTTGAACCAGCTTGGTGCAGACAGTCTGACTAGTTTAAGGAGACTGGCTGAAGCTCTGCCAAAATAATCTGTGGATGGAAAAGCACCACTTGCTAATGGAGAGGATGATGATGATGAAGTTCCAGATCTTGTGGAGAATTCTGATGAGGCTTCTAAGAATGAGGCAAACTGAACGAAGTCAGCTTCTGAAAATGATAAAACTTGGAAGAAGTTACTGGGAGCTGCTATTTTATATTATGACTGCTTTTTAAAGTTGTTTTTGTTTATGGATCTGATAAAATCTAGATCTCTTAGTATTTTTTAATCCCAAGCCCCTTGGATACTGCAGCTCTTTTCAGTTTTTGCTTACATACAATTCATTCTTTGCAGCCAATTAAGCTGGAGAAGCCTGGAATAAAGTTTGAAACAAAGAGTAATAAAATTCTTTGCCTAGTTAAAAAAAAAAAAAAAATAGCTTGAATTATTTCAAGCCTGAAAGAAAACAACCTCCAAATCAGACTGAAGTACCCCAGAAAACTATCTTTCAAAACTGATGAAAAAATAAGGCACTTCTATGACAAAGAAAACCTGAGGAAATTCAAAAACACCAAACTAGTACTCCACAATGCTCTGAAGGACATTTTAGAAAAAAATAAAAAGAGCTGGGTATGGTGGTGCATGCCTGTAATCTTAGCACTTAAGAAAATGAGGCAGGAGAAACACCATGAGTTCAAGGCCAGCCTGGGCTACATAAGAAAGTTCAAAGCCAGCCTGGACCACATAGAGAGACTGTGTCAGAAAGAAAGGAAGAAAGGAAGAAAGGAAGAAAGGAAG